CATCTGAGACATACTCTTGTGTAGTCTCATCTTAACAACAAACGTGCTTCATTCTTCAGATTATTTTCAATATCTTTCTGGGCTGATGGGCCCCACACTTGCCCTCCAGAATTGTATTTCTTGTTGACAACTTTGGCAACAAATTCTTGTGTCGTACCTTTCTCAAGGTCACTTCACACTATGACCTACAGTACCAAGTAGGTAGAGTCAGTGTCAAGGTACCATATTTCTCAAGCACCAAGTAAACAGTAATAGTCTTATAGCACACCCAAGCAATACCATAAGTCCCTTTGCCAAGTTCTCCTCTTTGCTCAAACGTCTGCCTAATATCTCTGCCTTTGTGATCCTTTGCCCACCTCCAGTTTGAATGGAATATATCATTATGAACCTTACTATCACAGCATCACGAAAAAGTCTTGACTCTTGTATTACATTGTAATGGTATAAAATGTGTGAAATATGTAAAAAGTGTAAAAGTAGTTAGAATTGATCTCAGATTTTGCAAAAATAATACAAGTCATTATAAGGTTAAAAAGGTTTATTAATGTTCAAAAAGTTTGTTAATATTATAAACTTATGAAAGGATGTTGTCCTTTACAATAGGTAAAATGAATTATATGTATTATAAGACTTAAAAGGTTTGTTGTTTTATAAAGGTACATAAGGGTTGTGATCCTTTACAATAAGTAGAAGTACTTATATTTGATCTCAAAAATGAGAAGATTGTACCATACTTATTAGATATAGCAAACATTGTAACTGTTTGCAAGGCTCACAATTCGTTATAAATCTTCATTATTAATATAATAAATTTTAATTATATTAAAATATTTAATACAAATATATTATCTACGCTAATTAGAGAGAGCAGTACATACTGGCATCGGTGGAAGAGAACAAATGCATTCTCGGGCTGTTTGATGTAGTCTTTGTCACCACACCTTGGTTGTTGCTCGGTCCCTGAAAGTTGAATTACGGTGCGTGCGGGTTGTGAGGCCGTGTCAATTGCAGAGGTTGAGGTTGTGCTTGTGTGACAAGTTGTGAGATTGACTGGGCATGAGGGACGGAAGTGTTAGCGCATACAGATAATTGAAGTGAAGAGATAGACTCACCGCAACAGTGTGCAGCAAGTGTGAGTGGTGCACCGGGGTTGAGGTCCGGAGCATTGAACAAACTGATTTGAGCAACAGGTGAAGCCGTGTCTGAGTGCACGCCGTATGCTCTGGCTCTGGCGTTCAATGGGAGGTGCAGTGAGCTGAGTCGTGGATTGTAAGGGCGTATCTCTGGGACGTTCTGGAACGAAGGGAGATGGCAAAGTGGAAGGTGTTGACGGACTCAACTTGGACAGGTGTGAGCAGTGGCCGCTGCTTCCGTTATTCGAAATGGTGTCATGGACAGCACTGGGGATTGTAAATGCACGCAGCGTGAGTCCATCAAGGTGTTGTCAAGCATGGAATGGTGGGTGGGGGAAGGAGAGTGCGCGCGGGGGTCGGGGAGAGGATTGCACCTTGGGAGTGGTTGTACATGGACATTGTCGCGAGCGTGTGCTCGTCGATTGCTGCTTGCGCTGCAGAGCGGGAAGAATGCATGGAATTATTGAAGAAGTTGTTCAGCGTTGGTCAACAATGCGGATGCGTGAATTCGAATGCAAAAAGGAAAGCGAGCGTAAAACAAGAAGGACAACGGAGGAGAGGCAACGCAAGCGGCGGAGCAAGGAGCGGGAGGGATGGGAGGAATGAAAGACAAAAAGTTGGGAGGAGAGGGATGAGCAACTATTGTACAGGTTATTATGCTTTATGTTGAAGGACAGTGTAGTCAGTTCGGTGGCATCATTGAGGCTCGGCGGGCATTGCAACTATAGTTGCCGCGGTCCGGTCCAGGTCCGGTCCAGACAGGTTTTTGCTGGACCGTGAACCGGACCAGGACCGATTTCTTATGAAATCCTGGACCTCGGACCGGACCCAGCTGGACCTCTTATGGACCGGACCAGCGGTCCAGTCCAGGTCCGAACCCGGTCCGGACCTCTGGACCAATTATATAATATATATTAAAATAATTCTGTCTTATTAACATATTATATGAGATAGATATACTATTAAGTACTATAATAATATGTTTCTGAATATATGTAAGCTTATATGTATCAGAATACAATTACTTTTATTATTTGTATTATACTAAGTGTAAAACAGAAGAAGTACTAGTGTAATAGAAATCAGTTCCCACAGTCAATGTAAACTGCTGTTTACATCTGTAAGACACAGTATAGTCTATTTGTATGCTTAAAGGGTATACAATGCACTATACAATATATGTAAGAGTAGTTCACATCTATTAGGCTCTGTACAGTCCATTTGTATGCCTTAAAGAAGTAGTATCTACAATATAAACAGTCCACAGTCTGGTCCAGGGTCCAGGCAGTCCAAAGCAGTCCGGAAATTTTGTCAAACGCTGGACTGTGGACTGGACCCCTGTTGGACCCAACTGGACC